ATCGAGGGTTTGGAGCACAATGGTTATATGTCCATTTTAGAGGTTTGAGAAAAATTGATTTTTAGGTTTCCAGGTGTTCTATTAAATCAGGTATTTTATATCATTTATTTTTTTTTACCAGTCACTCTCTTGTTGCATGGTTCAGAAGTATATTGAACACCTAAGTTTTCATAGGAGTGCAACCGCAACATCATGGTCAAATTGCCAAAAATGGACATGTCACCTCAGTGCTCCAACAATTCTAGCACATGATGTGACATAACACAATGGTGATTGGTTAAAGGTAAGTTTGTTTGCAATGGAAGTAAAATTCATGTTTATTCATCAAAATGTCAATGTTTAATTCATTTAAGCAGATTTTGTTGGACATATCACAAAATGAAAATGTGAACTCTGATTAAAAATGAATGCAGATGGACAAGTAGTTATTGTGCTCCAAGGATTAGCTGATAGAAAGCTGTGACAGGAGGTAAAAATCTCAAAACCACAAATTTTGGACATATAACCATTGTGCTCCAAACCCTCGATATCTTAAAAACTAGTGGCACGATTTACATAAAACTTTCATAGCAGAAAGGTCCTACCCGTGGCTCGGCCCTCCTCTAACGTCAGACTGCTAGGTCAAAAATCAAAGTCACAAACAAATGTCAAAGGGGCGAGGGTTTGCAATCTGGTTGTCTTGTTGTCTGTTCAGAAGACAGCCTGCTAGCTGCCTCAGCACTTGACTTTTAAAAATCCTGTCTTATGTATATGATACACAAGACCTTGTTGTTGCTATATTCTGAGAAATAAATGTTTTGTTCATAAAAAGGAGTCTTTTTTTGGGTTTTGCATTTGAAAAAATCAGGGCTGACAAAAACTCAGCCCGGCTGACAGATTTTGGTGTCTGTCAGCCCGGCTGGCTGACAGCTGAAAAAGTAAAGGTCAAACCCTGCAATAGCAGCTCTATTGTAAAGCAGTCCTTGCGCATCTGTACCCAATTCAGAAAACATTCTGGTCTCCAGAACATAGACTGTATAAAAAGATGGACGAAGCAACTGTGACGTCACCAATTGGTTTCAGCATACAATTTAGGAAGCCTCGATTTTGGTAATTTGACCAGCACCATTTTGTCATTTTGGAACCGGATGTGATTTCTATTGGACGAGAGCGTGAATTGAAGATCCGGGGAGGAGCGCGGCTCTGGATCTGACCGTATCAGACGAGGATAGCCATGAACGTAAAGCATATTCTGGCTTTATCCTTTATTCTAGTCTACTTGGGACCATAATTTACAAAAATGAGCATCACGATATATCGAAGGAGACTTGAAACTTGTGATAGATACCATAAAATGATGTGGAAAATCATTATTGAAATAATTAATCAGGTGGCAAAGTAGGGTCATTTGCTCATAGACTTCAATGGCATTGAACTTCTTTCTGCAACCACCGACATTGCCATCTGCTGGCCATTAAATATAATGCAAATTTTTGAGATTTGCGCATCGGCCTCACGTTTCAGACCCGGGCGCTGCGCCCATCTTTTTATACAGTCTATGCTCCAGAATGTCTCACCTCAAAGTCCTATTCCAGCTAATCGTCTATTTGTTCCTTTGACGGTCAATGGAACTTCTAAAATCTGGCTCAATAAATGCCTGAAATGCTTTAATGATTATTCTGTTATTTTTTCCCGACTGAGCGAAACCTTTGGTATCCATAACTCACATTTATTTAGATTTTTACAGGTGAGGCATTATGCACTGGGTTTAATTCCATGTGTCCCTTGTAAACCTCCAGCTAACCCAAATTATCCATTTCTCTCTGTTAACCCAACATCAAAAGGTATAATCTAATCTCTACAACCTTATTTCAAAGTAGCATTGCCCCTCAATTGCTGCTATCAGTGCAGCTTGGGAACAGGACCTACATTGTAGTTCCACAGATAACACATGGGAATCTGTTCTCAACCATATACACTCATCTTCCATATGTGCACCACACGCTCTTTTGCAATTTAATTGGAGTTCATTGCATCAGTACTTCTAAAACAAAACTAGCTCGAATGCACCCTGATGTGAGCCCTCACTTTTACACAAGTATTGGTCATGCTCTGCTTTAGTTGACTTCTGGAGATTATTCCTACAAACTGTCTTGGGAATTTTTAACCATTAATTTGAGCCAAAACCTTTGATTGTTGTCTTTGGCATATCTCCGGAGTTGGATTTGGCGAAAGCAAAACTCAATGTGTTGGCTTTTACATCTCTGCTAGCTCAGCAGGCCATTTTACTTAAGTGGAGAGATTTTGTCCTTTCCTCTTGCTCGCACTGGATTAGTGACACAATGAACTGTGTGAATCAAGAGAAAATCTGGTTCAATATCCAAGGAACAGAGAATAAACTTAACAAAGTGTGGCGCCCCTTCCTCATATTTGTTGAGAAACACACCACAGTTACTGTGTGCTTGCTTCGGAATTGTGGTTGTAATAATAATAATAATAATCAACATCATCATTGTCATTATTATTATCTACTTTTTTCTCTTTAGCTCTATTCATTAATACCCCCCCTTTTTTTTTTTTTTTGCCTGAGTTGGGGGTGGAAAGTTTGGTTAGGGATTTCCAGAGAAATTGGGATGCTGTGTAAAATGTTTATAAAAACAGTACAATGATTTGCAAATCATCTAAACCCTTTATTAAACTGAAACTGGTGCAAAGACAACATGTCAAATGTTGAAACTGAGAAATTTTATTGTTTTTTTGATAAATATTTGCTCATTTTTCATTTTATGACAGCAACATGTTTCAAGAAAGTTGGGACTGGGATAATTTTTACCGCTGTGTTGCTTCACCTTTTCTTTCAGCAGTACTCCAAAAGCATTTGGGAACTGAGGTGACAAACTGCTATAGTTTTCGAAGCAAAATGTTTTCTTTTTTTTTGCTTGGTATAGGCTTTCAGCTGCAATGCTTTGCAGACTCCTGGATGGTCCTTCTCCTGTTTAGTCCGCAGGACGCAGCGTCCATAATTTCCCAAAATAATTTCACATTTTTGATTGATCAGACCACAGGACAGTTTCCCACTTCACTTCAGTCCATCTTAGATGAGCTCGGGCCCAGCAAAGGCCGTTGCATTTCTGGATCTTGGATTAATATTTGCATGGTAAAGTTTTAACTTGCATTTGTGGATGCAGCGAGAAATGGTGTTCATTAACAAAGCGTTCCTGAGCCAGTGCAGTGAATTCCTTTTCAAAATCCTGTCTGTTTTTAAGGCAGTGCTGCCTGAGGGCCTGAAGATCATGGCCATTCAATATTGGTTTTCAGGTCTTGTCCCTTGCGTACAGAGCTTTCCCTGGATGCTCTGAATATTTGGTAATATTATGTACTGTAAATTATGTATTATGTCATGAAATCCCCAATTTCCTTGCAATTTTACATTGAGAAATGTTATTTTAAATTGCTGAACTTTTTACCCATGCAGTCTTTCCCTGAGTGGTGAATTCATTGCCATCTTTATGTCTGAAAGATTTTTTATACCCAATCATGTTTGTGACCTGTTGCTAATTAATCTTATTTGCAGTTAGATGTTCCACCAGGTGTATTTTGTTTTTGCATCATTCAACTTTTACAGTCTTTTGTAGCCCCTGTCCAAACTTTTTTGAAATGTGTCGCTGGCATCAAATTCAAAATGAGCAGACGTTTTTTTAAAAAACAAAATTTCTCAGTTTCAACATTTGATATGTTATCTTTGCACTATTTTCAATTACACATCGGGTTTAAATGACTTGCAAATCATTGCATTGTTTTTATTTTCATTTTACACCCCGTCCCAACTTTTCTGGAAATGGCGTTGTATGTCCTACCCATTTATCCAATTTTTTCTTTTTTTTTTTCAAACTGTAACTCTGCTCACCTTTTCAGGCATAATGAAGAATTGGTTTTGTCTTTTGGTATGGCTGTCTGTAATGTTTACTTGTTTTGGATGTGTGACTTGTTTCATAGCTGGATGTTTTCTGACATGGATGAGTTTTGTTGGGAAGAGGGTAAAGAGGAAAAGAAAGAAAAATATTTCACTGTACCGTCAAGTTTTTTTTATTCATTGTTTATCTGCAATAAAAAGGCTTATGAAAGAAATTATGATCCAGTCTGCCACAGCACTATTACGTTATAATTATCATTAAGTCTTCTTTGGTAGTATTTTATTATCATTATCATATAGTCCCCTATAGTAATATTATATTATCATTATCATAGTCTACTATAGCACTGTTACATTAACATTATCATACAGTCTTCTATTGTTACCTCCACCAAACGAAGTTGGCAGGAGGTTATGTGATCGGTGCCGTTTGTCTGTTGGTCTGTTTGTTTTTAACTTGAAAAGTCACAAACTGATATCTCTGAATAAATTACATCAGGGATGGAATAGATTTTCATCGCGATCAGTTAAACAAATGGCGGATAAATCGTATGACACGCGATAACTGAACTTTGCCCCAACCAAGATTTGGACATTTTGCACTTACATTCTATTATCTTGTAATCATCATACAGTCTCTTGTACTATTATATTATTATCTTGCCGCCTCCTGTATCTGATATTTATCATATTCATAGACTCCAATTTTGTTACATTATCATAGTCTCCTATAGTACTATTTTATTATCATTATCATACAGTAAATATTACTATAATAACTTTATCATAGTCACTTATAGTGCTTATATTTTATCATTATTATTTAGTCTGCAATGGCGGTATTATTTTATTTGTCATACAGTCTCCTCAAGCACTATTATCATTATCATACAGTCTCCGACGGTACCATTATATAATTTTTGTCATTTGGTTTCCTTTAATAATATCTTTTCAATATCACACAGTCTCTAGAGTACAATTAAATTATCATTATTTCACTCAAACCTATAATCCAAAGCTATTTAAAATTGAGTGAACCAGGCCAGGGGACCAATCCCCCACAAGCACTGTTGCTGGCCACTCGGCTCTTCTGCCCTGATCTTATGATGTGCTGCACTAGGACTTGAACCCTAAGCATTGTGAGTTGCAATCACACATTTTAACCACTAGGCTGCAGCATTTCAACGTTTTGTTTGACCACTTTCCTAGACAATATATTTAACAAAAAAATTTCTCACTAACTTCAAAAGTATGCCGTTTCTGGCCTCATCTATAATGTTCATGCTTTTGACTTAATCCTCCACAGGAGGTCTGTTTGGGAAAGCCCTGGTGTTTCCCTATGAGACGGACAACAGCTACGTGAAACTGATTCCACAGAAGCCCCTGGAGCTCAAAGCCTTTACGCTGTGCATGAGGGTGGCCACAGAGCTTAAAGGCGAGAGAGAAATCATCCTCTTCGCTTACCGCACCAAACACTTTGATGAGCTCAATGTCTGGCGAGAGAAAGATGGACGCTATTCATTCTACCTGAGTGGAGAAGGGGTGTTTTTTGAAATACCTCCTCTGAACACGTTTAAGACCCATTTGTGCTTTACTTGGGAATCAAAGACAGGTCTGGCTGCTGTTTGGGTGGACGGCAAGCGCAGCATTAGGAAAGTTTACAAAATTGGACATACAATTCGACCCAGCGGTACTGTACTTCTTGGACAGGACCCCGACAGTTACGTGTTTGAATTTGATAAAGATCAGAGCTTTGTTGGTGAAATTTCTGATGTTAACATGTGGGACTATGTCCTACCTGAAAAACAGATTACGGCTTTGCATTCGTATGACACACACAAGGTTCGAAAAGGTAACATTTTTGACTGGGAGACGATTCTGTACCTGATTTATGGCAAAGTACTTGAGGCACCGGCGGATTAAAAACACCCATGTCTAGATAAAACAGTGTGCTTTTTAAATTGCATGAGCGGCAATATGGATTTTTTTCCAACTGGATGCAATAAAAGTGTTTAATTGTTTACGTATGTGGCTTCCTTTAAAGATCCTCTTTTATGAATTAATGAATGAATGAAAACCTTTATTGCCCCTTGGGGAATTTGTCTTGCACTCAGAGCGTAAGAACATAAATGACAAAGACATCAAACAACAGTTCAAGACAGCACATAAACATGAAACAAGAAGCATAAATACATAAATAAATACATCACTAAAAAGCATAAATAACATAAATATTAAGTTCCATACTCATTATAAAAGGACATTGCATGGAAAAACACAAGAACTGTCAAATATTAAGTTCCAAGTAAGTCATTATACAGTACATCATCGGATCCTCTATTATGCTGTTTTTTTTTTTTTGAAGTTACATATTTTTAGATGCCCCAAAGGAAGGTTTCTAAACATTTTAGCATAAAAAATTCGAAAACCCACTATTTTAAGGCCATTTGATTCTTGTCAAAACAGGCTATTCTGAGTGGGCATCTCCTTCACTCATTTTGGAATGAGGAGTTTTGATTGGTTAGACAACAGAGTCACTCCCTCTTCCCATTTTGGTTGTCAACAGATAAAGAACATGTCAAAATTCCTCACTACTTGCTTTTATTAGTCTCTAAATGGAGCCGATGCACTGATCCTCTTTAGTATTTAGCTTTTAAATGACTCAAGAAAGAATGAGCCGATGCACTGACTCCTCTTCACTCATTTCGGTTTTATATGACTGTTAAATGGAGCCGTGCACTGACTCCTCTTCACTCATTTTGGTTTTATATGACTGTTATTAATGGAGCCGATGCACTGACTCCTCTTCCCTCATTTCGGTTTTATAATAACTGTTATTAATGGAGCCGCTGAATTGACTCCTCTTCACTCATTTTGGCCTTATATGACTGTTATTAATGGAGCTGCTGCATTGACTCCTCTTCTTTCATTTTGGTTGTATGTAACTGTGATGGAACTGACTCCTCTTCACTCATTTCGGTTTTATATGACTGTTATTAATGGAGCCGATGCACTGACTCCTCTTCACTCATTTCGGTTTTATATGACTGTTATTAATGGAGCCGATGCACTGACTCCTCTTCACTCATTTTCGGTTTTATATGACTGTTATTAATGGAGCCGATGCACTGACTCCTCTTCACTCATTTCGGTTTTTATATGACTGTTATTAATGGAGCCGATGCACTGACTCCTCTTCACTCATTTCGGTTTTATATGACTGTTATTAATGGAGCCGATGCACTGACTCCTCTTCACTCATTTCGGTTTTATATGACTGTTATTAATGGAGCCGATGCACTGACTCCTCTTCACTCATTTCGGTTTTTATATGACTGTTATTAATGGAGCCGATGCACTGACTCCTCTTCACTCATTTTTCGGTTTTATATGACTGTTATTAATGGAGCCGATGCACTGACTCCTCTTCACTCATTTCGGTTTTATATGACTGTTATTAATGGAGCCGATGCACTGACTCCTCTTCACTCATTTCGGTTTTATATGACTGTTATTAATGGAGCCGATGCACTGACTCCTCTTCACTCATTTCGGTTTTTATATGACTGTTATTAATGGAGCCGATGCACTGACTCCTCTTCACTCATTTCGGTTTTATATGACTGTTATTAATGGAGCCGATGCACTGACTCCTCTTCACTCATTTCGGTTTTATATGACTGTTATTAATGGAGCCGATGCACTGACTCCTCTTCACTCATTTCGGTTTTATATGACTGTTATTAATGGAGCCGATGCACTGACTCCTCTTCCCTCATTTCGGTTTTATATGACTGTTATTAATGGAGCCGATGCACTGACTTCTCTTTCCTTTTATATGACTGTTATTTGGAGCCGTTTTTTCCTCATATGACTGTTATTAATGGAGCCGATGCACTGACTCCTCTTCCCTCATTTCGGTTTTTATATGACTGTTATTAATGGAGCTGACTCCTCTTCACCTATTTCGGAGCCGTTATTAATGGAGCCGATGCACTGACTCCTCTTCCCTCATTTTAATGGAGCCGATGCACTGACTCCTCTTCCCTCATTTCGGTTTTATATGACTGTTTATTAATGGAGCCGATGCACTGACTCCTCTTCACTCATTTCTTTTATATGACTGTTATTAATGGAGCCGATGCACTCTTCTTCCTCATTTCGGTTTTATATGACTGTTATTAATGGAGCCGATGCACTGACTCCTCTTCACTCATTTAGGTTTTTATATGACTGTTTTATATTAATGGAGCCGATGCACTGACTCCTCTTCTTCACTCATTTCGGTTTTATATGACTGTTATTAATGGAGCCGATGCACTGACTCCTCTTCCCTCATTTCGGTTTATATGACTGTTATTAATGGAGCCGATGCACTGACTCCTCTTCCCTCATTTCGGTTTTATATGACTGTTATTAATGGAGCCGATGCACTGACTCCTCTTCCCTCATTTCGGTTTTATATGACTGTTATTAATGGAGCCGATGCACTGACTCCTCTTCCCTCATTTCGGTTTTATATGACTGTTATTAATGGAGCCGATGCACTGACTCCTCTTCACTCATTTCGGTTTTATATGACTGTTATTAATGGAGCGATGGACTGACTCCTCTTCCCTGACTGTTTTTATATGACTCCTCTTCTATTAATGGATGCCTGTTATGGAGCTGACTCCCTCTTCACTCATTTCGGTTTTATTTTATAATGGAGCTGTTTTATATGACTGTTATTAATGGAGCCGATGCACTGACTCCTCTTCATATGACTCATTCCTCTTCACTCATTTTTTTATATGACTGTTATTAATGGAGCCGACTGACTCCTCTTCACTCATTTCGGTTTTATATGACTTCACACATTCCTCTTCACTCATTTCGGTTTTATATGACTGTTATTAATGGAGCCGATGGAGCACTGACTCCTCTTCATATCATTTCGGTTTTTATATGACTGGAGCCGATGCATTCCTCTTCACTCATTTCGGTTTTTATATGACTGTTATTAATGGAGCACTGACTCCTCTTCACTCATTTCGGTTTTATATGACTGTCTTCACTCATTAATATGACTGTTATGGAGCACACTGACTCCTCTTCTTTTTTTTTTTTATATGATTGTTATTAATGGAGCCGATGCACTGACTTTTCATCATTTTCGGTTTTATATGACTGTTATGGAGCCGATGCACTGACTCCTCTTCACTCATTTCGGTTTTATATGACTGTTTTTATTTGGAGCCGATGCACTGACTCCTCTTCCCTCATTTCGGTTTTATATGACTGTTATTAATGGAGCCGATGCACTCTCCTCTTCCCTCATTTTCGGTTTTATATGACTGTTATTAATGGAGCCGGCACTGACTCCTCTTCACTCATTTCGGTTTTATATGACTGTTATTAATGGAGCCGATGCACTGACTCCTCTTCCCTCATTTCGGTTTTATATGACTGTTATTAATGGAGCCGATGCACTGACTCCTCTTCACTCATTTCGGTTTTATATGACTGTTATTAATGGAGCCGATGCACTGACTCCTCTTCACTCATTTCGGTTTTTATATGACTGTTATTAATGGAGCCGATGCACTGACTCCTCTTCATTTTTTTTTTATATGACTGTTATTAATGGAGCCGATGCACTGACTCCTCTTCACTCATTTCGGTTTTATATGACTGTTATTAATGGAGCCGATGCACTGACTCCTCTTCCCTCATTTCGGTTTTATATGACTGTTATTAATGGAGCCGGAGCCGATGCACTGACTCCTCTTCACTCATTTCGGGTTTTATATGACTGTTATTAATGGAGCCGATGCACTGACTCCCTCTTCCCTCATTTCGGTTTTATATGACTGTTATTAATGGAGCCGATGCACTGACTCCTCTTCACTCATTTCGGTTTTATATGACTGTTATTAATGGAGCCGATGCACTGACTCCTCTTCACTCATTTCGGTTTTATATGACTGTTATTAATGGAGCCGATGCACTGACTCCTCTTCACTCATTTCGGTTTTATATGACTGTTATTAATGGAGCCGATGCACTGACTCCTCTTCACTCATTTCGGTTTATATGACTGTTATTAATGGAGCCGATGCACTGACTCCTCTTCACTCATTTCGGTTTATATGACTGTTATTAATGGAGCCGATGCACTGACTCCTCTTCCTCATTTC